GGGGCTGGCGCGGGATCGGGCAGTGTTTCGTTCTGCTGTGCATGGGGTCGCTATGAGTCGGAAACGACTCGACGGCACTTAACAACAACAACAACAACAATCTTGCTTTTGGGGCACTTTCTCTGTATTTTTGAGATTGTTCTATATCGGTATTAACTTCCTTGCATAATATTACATTATGTAGTTGAACCATTTTTTTTAACCTAGGTGGTTCTCCTGTATTTTGCAATTATAAGCAGTGTACCCAACAATAAGCTTGTGTGTGCATCCCTCTGCACAGTACAGATATACATCTGGATTTCAGATTCCTAGCTGTGGAATCACTGGGTCAGAGGCAACGGGTACTTGCAGTTTAGGTGGCTCTGATCAGCAGTGCAGAAGAGAACCCATTTCCCTAGTCCTCAGCAGCAGTGGTATCAGACTTCTTTGATGTTTTATATTGGTTACTTCTTAATCTTGGTAACTGAAGTTATTACAAAGTCTTGTTTTGGGTATGATATTAGTGCCTAAGGCATTTGACTGCTAACCAGAAGCCTGGCGGTTCAAACCTACCAACCACTCCTCAGAAAAAAGGTTGGGCAATCTACTTCCATAGTGATACGCCTCAGAAACCAAAGGAGGAGTCACTATGAGTCAGGTCCAACTTGACGGCAGTGAGTTGTTTTTTTTTTTCAAATGTGATAACTTTCCATGAGTTTTTATGAGTCCTCATAAATCTTTGTTTTTTGTGAGAATCAACTTACCCAATTCTGAATCATCACAGCTCTATAGGGTCCCCGAGGCTTTAATATTCACAGAGGCAGACTGCCGTATTTTTCTCCTGTGGAGAATCTGGTGGGTTCAAATCACTTACCTTTGGATTAACAGTCGAGCACTTAACTACTTTGTCACCAGGGCTCCTCTGTCGTAACATAGATCTTGCTAAGTGGAAATTTACCATTTGCCCAAGTATTCCAAATAGCCCCAAGTTAACTAGAGGATTGAGGGAGTGGGGAGGTACCTGCGTCAGCAAACCTGAGGCTTACTCAGGAGGTGGCCTGTGCTGCTTAAACTCCAGAGATGCAGAGGAGGTACACAAAGTGCTCAGGGAGTCCCGTGTGCTCCCTTCTCCTCAAACTATTCCCTGTCCAGGTACCAAGTTTTATGCCCTAAAAACTAACATCCTGAAAGCCCCAGAGCTCTTCTTTAGTCTTGAGTTTCAACTCCTTGCAATGCCTTTAGTCTGAGTCCTGGGGCTAGCCTGACTCAGCTCGAAGCAGCTCACCTCCCTACCCTCTTGTCTGTCCTTGTGACCACTCTGAATTAGGCTCTCAGTGCCTAATCCCTAAAATCAGAACCCCATCATTATAAAGCACCGGGCAACAGAGGAATTCTCCCTTTTTTGCTATAATTTTTTCTTATCCCCCCAGTTTTCCCAATTCCAGTAACTCGAGAATATAGCATATACATAGCCTGGGTGTGTTCGCTTCAAGTATAGAAGCTGGCGATGAATGTGAAAATGGTGCCTTCTCAAGTTGCTCTTGCTCCAGGCAAGGATGGGAGGTAGAGATGAGCGTTAGGTCCTTTTCTGATCAAGCAGGATGCAGCATAGTAGCCATCCAGCCTGTGACCAGGGACCCCCATCAGAGTCATTTTCCCCAACTTCCATCATCAGAAGTTCCTTTAAAACAAAACCATCACCCCTAATGGACTCCTTAGTCTGTAGGTCCCCTTTTCAAGGTAGAAGCCATGTCTTGTTTACTCAACTATGTTATTTATTTTGGTGAAGCATTCTTAGAATTGGCATCTACTGATGAATATATTCATAACTCAAAATAATACATTGTAAATGAAAATGTACTTGGTATTTAAATCTAAATGTATTCAGTGTGTCTCACTTTCCCTCTTCCCAAGACTAAATAATTACAATATTTCTGGGGAAGTTTCCCCCTTGTCCTCCAGGACTGCAGATGACTGGCCTGGGAGAGGTGAGAAGGGAACTGTGTGGACACAGATTCGACCCCTCTGAGAAGACACATCATTAGATACTCAACTAACTCCCTGGCAGTGGAGGGCCGTTTTGCCCTTACAATATTTTTATCTAATTTTGAAAGGTTTATCAGATATATGCAAAGAGGTCACCAGAGGAAGTGTATGCCCTCCTAAGGTCCTTTGGCACTGACTATGTCATCCTGGAAGACAGCATCTGCTATGAACGAAGGCATAGCCGGGGCTGCCGCCTGCGGGACTTGCTGGACATCGCCAACGGACATGTAAGCAGATCAAGTCTCGTCATGTGAGGGAATTTCCTAGAAGAGGTGGGATTCCAGTTTGATTGCTAAGTATCCTAAGCATTGCAAATCATTTTATCCTTCGTGTTGTGAATCAGGTATTCATTTTTCTCTTGTGTTCGTTGAACTCCTTGGCACTTCAGTGGCTGCCACAGGGGCTGGGCAAAGGAAAAGGTGGGCAGGGGTTCTAGGTCCCCAGCTTCACATCAAACAGAACAGCTCTGCCTTTACCTGTTTTGTGTCATGTTGTTGTTGTTGTTGTTGTTATGTGCCGTCGAGTCGGCCCCGACTCATAGCGACCCCTCCTTGGGTTTCCAAGGCAGTATCACTACAGAAGTAGGATTGCCCAACCTTCCTTCCGAGGAGTGGCTGGTGGGTTTGAACCGCCAGCCTTCTGGTTAGCAGTCAAGTGCTTTAGCCACTATGCTACCAGATAAATCTAGTTTTTAAAGATTTCCCTACTTAAAAAAAAAATGGCAAACAAAACCTCAGTTTTAAAGCCACCACTGTGTGGACACAGATTGGACCCCTCTGAGAAGACATATCATTAGATACTGCTCAGCTAACTCCCTGGCAGTAGAGGGCTGTTTCGCCCTTGCACGATTTTTATCTAATTGTGATAAAACCCAGCAGCAGTGTTTTCCATCTCTCCTGTCCTAACCATGGTGGTAGATTGGTGCTGCTCTGCCTGCCCTCTCATTGAGTGGCCCCTTTTGTCCAGTGGCACACTTCTACAAGATGATTATTGTGGCTCAGCTTGTATTCCAGAAGGAAATGTCCTTCTCCCTTCCAAGGAGAATGTTCTTGGAGCTATCCCAGGTCTCAAGGAGAACAAAGAAGATTTTCACTCAGAGGTGGTGTGTGCTATAATTAAGGTCCCTGGGTTTTGTGCTCAGCTGCTAACCTAAAGCCTGCTGATTCCACCTGCCCAGAAGCACTGCAAAAGAAAGGTCTGGCAATCTGCTTACCATAAAGAATTACAGCTGAGAAAATCCTAAAGAGCAGTTCTGCTCTGTAATGCATAAGGTCACCACGAACAGGAATCGGCTTGACAGCATTAGGTTCAAGTGATACCTAATTTGGTATAAAAGTGGATAAATGTTTACAAAATGAGTGGGACAGAATGACAAACAGCCTAAATCAGGGAGGGAAAAAAAGAAATTGGTCTGCAGAATTTGAGATTCAGATGTTTTTAAAATAATTTATTGTTTTTGTTACTGAGAATACACACAGCAAAAATATACACCAATTCAAGTTCTACGTATACAATTCAGTGACATTGATTACAATATTCGAGTCATACGACCATTCTCACTTTCCTTTTCTGAGTTGTTCATCCCCTGTTAATATAAATTCACTGCTCCTTAAGTTCCTATCTGACCTTTCAAGTTGCTATTGTCCATTTCATGCCATGTAGGTAGTTCTTAAAAGAGCATAATGTTCAAGGCAGACATTCTTTGATAGTTAACCTTTCCATAACCTGTAGGGCAGATTGCATCCATCAACATTTTTAGCATCTCAGGTTTCTTGGGAAGCTTTCTTCCCAGTTGTAGTACATGCTACTGCCTGGCAAAGACCTGTATTTGCATGAATCTGAAGAAATGGGGCTCACCCCAAATGGGGCTCACTACCACAAGAGTCCTGTTACGACATATGTGTCCCTCATAATTGTATCAAAATCCATGTTAACCACAAAAAAGAAAAAGAAAAGGCTTTTCCTTGATTTCAGCATGCCTTCTGTTACTGAAAACATTATTGACCGAAAATTCAGTCATGAACGGGGTGAGTGAAACAATTGTTTGGTTTTAAGGAGACTTCTGGAGATATTTCTGATACTCAGTTTAAAGATTATCTTGAAGCAGTAGTTTTGAGAGTTCATCCAGCCTCCGTGGTTCCAGAAAATCTGGATTCCATGAGAAATGCTGTTCTACATATTCCCCTTTGTGATCTGGATTCTTCTGTAATGAGATTCAGATTTTTATCCAAGGAAAACAATGATCTGTAACTGTCTTGGTTTTACAGAGGTATAGACCACAAATGTGCACTGTAATTTTGCTTTGTGTATCACTTTTTCTAACTTGACAATCTAATGAGTTAAAGATTTTTCTCTATTCTTATTTCATTTTCATCAGAGAAACAATGTAGCACATGCCTGAGAACAAGGAGACTTGAGTTCTAGTTCTAGCTTTGCCATTGATGGTGATCATTGTATGGTGCTGAACCTTCCTTCTCAGCCTTGATTTGTACTTCTGAGGGGTAGAAGGGGTGGACCGGATGATCTCCAAGCAGCCACTGAAATTTAAATAATATAATGTCACTAATATATCATTCTGCATGTTTAATTTCACCAGTATACCATTCTGTCCCTACTTCTATTGCCTTTTTATAAATTATGATTTTTTTCAGACTGGATTTGGCTTTGTTTTGCTTTTAGATGATGGATGGCCCAGGGGAGAATGAACCTGGTCTGAAACCTGCAAGCCACCCTCGCTTCTGTGAAGAGATCAAAAGAAACCTGCCTCCTTACGTGGCACATTTCACTAGAGTGTTTCAGAACAAGACATTCCATGTTTACAAGCTAAGTAGAAACAAGTAACAAAGGTTTCTGGTCAACCTCTATTTTTGATACAGTAAAACTTCACCATAATGAAACTCAATAGTTAGTTTCCTATGTAATTAGGTAGCTTGCACCTTAAAGCTGTGATATGAGTAAATTTTACAGATGTTTACACAAGTGTAACCATTTTTGAAAGTATCTTACACAAGTTCAAGTCTTTTTCATCTTGTGTCTGTCTTTTCCACTAATGGTCTTTTGTGTAAATGTTGACAGCTTTCACAGAGTACCCTAGAATTTTGGTGGAGAGATTACTCTGTGTTCTATTGGTAGCCTGGATAGCTATATATCATGTTGGGAATTGAGAGCCTGTTCAGGATTTGAAATATATGTAATCTTTAGTTGTTTTAAGGTAGCAATGGTTGAATTAAATTGTGGGGATGCATAATTAAATTATTTAATATTATTTCACTTGTGAAGACCAATCAATGGCTTTTTAAAATGTTCTCTAATGTCCTATTTTCCTTTAAAATTTTGTTTTTTCAATTTTCATGCTCTTAACACTGAGAAAAAAAAAATCATGTTTGTTCTTTCTATTTATCTGAAACTTTTTGGTTGAACTCTGAAATGTGGTGTGTTACACTTCAGTAGGATGTATCATGTATTAAGTGTGTATGTATGTGTGTATGTGTGTGTGTGTGTGTTAATGCTGGGCACAGAAAAGTATTACAAGTTCCATATTGTAAGTCCTCAAAGGGGCAGAAATATATGTAGCCAAGTAGAATTTGTTACTGTTTAGTGCTTTTATTTTAAAACCTATTGATACTCTTTAACCTCTCCTTCAAGTATGATAGTTTTGCTTTGTTTCTTACTCATTTAAATATACTGGGTTTGCAAAATTTTGTAAACTTTTTGTGTTTTTAGCCTTTGTATTTTTTACAGCCTAGAACCTTGCAAAGTCTGAGTATTTTTTAAATGTTGTACCTTAACTAATTCGCTAATACGATATTTTTAGCAGACAGCATTTTCATACCAAGTTTGATTTGCGTCTCCAGTCTTACTGTGAGGTCTTGCTAGTGTTATTCTTTTCCTTACTAAAAAGTGCCTCTAAGTCATGCCTACATATAAATAATGAAGAAGATTATGTACACCTGCTCAAAAAAATTTTGATAATTGCTTTTATAATTAATTTCTAATGATGGGGACATGTCAAAGTTGCTGATAAAAGCATATTGTGCATTTAATTTAAATCTAGATGTCTAATGAAATTAACTTTCTCCCTTGTTCTTGCCAGTTGGAAATGATTTAAATGCTTTTCTTTGCAGTTGTATTGAAGTAAATTTACATATGCATCAAGTTGGAATATCACATGTTAAAAACAATTTTATATCAGTTACTGCTTCTTAAGCAGCATTCAAAAAAATTTTTACACTGTCATTTTGAACACAAGGATGTTTGGCTTTTATCAAAACTTAAATAAAAAACTGACAGTAGCTGGATTGTTAAATCATGCAATAGAAACTCAAGAATTATATCTTTCTTGTATTCCTTAATAAGATTGTACACCACTGCAGTTTAGGATAATACAATAATAAAGCATTTTAATTGGTATTAAGACTTTTAATTAAGCCAGTAATGATGCATGCCTGTTGTAACTGACAGCATGGGTCAGTATATCCTTCAGCGAGTGCCTTACTCTAATTGAAACCAAGCACATGTAAGGTACAGTATGTCGGGCTATGTGGTCTTATTTTAAAATTCTCTGTTATCTTTTAAAATATATTTAAATTTGATGCATATATTCCTGTATGTGTTAATCTAAGCACTTTGGGCATTTGGAATCTTAATACACAAGAAGATGTACTTAAATTTTTATGTTAATCATTATCACATTGATGGCATACAGCGGTTTTTGTTTTTTCAGTTGTGGTCCTACAGTAATTGTTTCCCCCATAGTTTAGGTATCATTGTTTCCAAAACATTTAGTTTTCAATCTTTAGTGAAAAATAAAAAGTGCCAAAAACAAAAATATTGCAAGCAAAACTCATACACTCTTTCTAAGACACTGTGATCATGTACAGAGAAGTTTTTATTTCCTGATGATCAAATCACTCAACAAATCATGTTAGGTATTTTTAGTGCTTATCAATATTTTCCTTTATGGCCTTTTCATTGGAGTACACACAAAGAAACAGGGAAACTATCGATGAGGCCTGGCTCTGGTTTCTATTCCTCTACAAGCTGAAGCAAGAGACTTGTGGCTTAAGCTCCACACTGCACAGACCTTGGCAACTGTTAGGATTTGGTAATAGTGTCACATTATGGTTCTGTTTTATTGTGGAGAGCAAAGCCACTTTATTTGGCTTCAGGTTTTATCAGTCAGAAGAACCTTTAAGTATGATAGAAGTGCTCTTAACTGACGTCTACTTAATGTGACTCACCAGATCACCTGAGAGTTTCCATCCTGCTTATCAACTAGCTGTTTGCCCCAGCACATCTGGGAGGCCACTTCCTGCTATTCTCACATGCTCTTGCCCCCTCATTTGAGTTGTATGCCCATGCCAGACTTCCCAGTGCAAGTTGTATTTATTGTAAGCATGTAATTTAATTAACTGTTGGCATAAACCTAGGAATATGGGTGTAAAGAGAGTTACATCAGTGAAAATGAAGTTAAATACTTTGGTAAGATTTGATAACAATTTATTTGCTAATAAAATTGCTTTAAATCTGGTGTGGTTGAGGAAATTTTTAAATATTGAAGAAATAAAAATCAAGAAAAGTTCTGAACTTAGATGGCTTTATAGTTTTTTTGAAGTACTCATAGCAGTTTTTAAAAATCTGAACTATTAGGACTGTATCCATATCCCATTACTGTTATGATGTTTGCAGGTAGAAGTGCAATCATTGGACCTTTATGCAAAGGAAAAGACTTGTCTTTGAATCAAATTATTTATAAATGAATGTACAAATATACATTCAAAGTTTTAATTCCTTACTTTAACATACTTACTTCATTAAATGACCCACTGCTGATACTGATTACAAAGGCTAATACAGATTCTACTGTAATTGAAAGGTCCCAGTCACTTTTATTACAAGCTTTTAAAGAACAGGGATTTATTTCAGATACATGAGCCAGGAACATAATTAGGTGTTTTCTAGGCCTTTGTTGTCTACTTAAAGATGCTTGTGAAATCAACTAAAGTTTTCCGGGGTATGCATATTTGTATTTTGGGTGGGTGCTGCCAAGTGGTGAAAGCATATGAGATGTTTAATCTGGCCTGCAGCGTTATTTCACAATTAACTTAGTCTAAGATGTAGAAATTTTAGCTCAGCTTTGGCCAAAATCGACCCGAATTAATGTAGAAATATTCAGTTTCTTAATTTGAATTGAAACGTTGGAATTAATGTTATTGGGTTCCACCAAGTTGATTCCAACTCATAGTGACCTCATAGGAAGATACTAAAATGTTCTCAGATAATATGTCTTGTTTGATTTGCTCCCAAATGCTTTATGCATGACAACCTGTTGGTCTGGGATAGAGTGCTTGTCTGTTCATGGAAAAAGGCTTTTAAGAGGAGAGAGTGGCTTACTTTCTTGTGGCAATCGATTTTGTTTTTAACAGCCTATGGGTTAAATCTTACAAAGAGCTTTTATAATTTGTTGTACTGAATTATATGGAGATAAGGACTAAATAAAGCTCTTTTAAATCACAAAAGAGAAGTGTGTTTCATTTTGTTGAAGGTCAAAAAGCAAGAAACTACCTTATTGAAGTACATGAAATATGTACTAAACAGAGAATAATCACTAGATGGATATGAGGAGGCCTCAGTTGTACTTGTTAATATTGAAGGAGTTTATTCTTTCACAGGGATTTTGCTTTGATAGCTGCTTATTTGTTTCCCTTGAATATCAAGGTTATAATTTAGATTTCTAAATAGAAAGCTACTACCAACAGAATTTATCCTAAAAGAGAGAAATGCTATTTGTTTTTACCTTTTTAATAGTTTCTACTTTTCTAAATTAAATTCTTAGTCTGTAATAATTCAGGAAGATGGATGATAGTTCCTATTTTTTGGAAAGACTTATAAAATGTGCTTGATATTCCACACTAAGTACTTTCTAGCCAAGGAAGAATTACAAACAATATAGTTAAGTGAGAGATTCAGGATATGCATGAACTCAATGTGTAATGGTTTGGCATGTGATACCAGGCACTTGGCAAATGAAATGTTTATTCTCTGTCCGTCCTTTCAGAGGTATCTGAAACTCATTTCTTAAAACTTTTCAGTTAATGTAGTATTTAGAAGTTTGCTTTATAGGATTTTTTTAATGTACATAATGGAACTGTAGTGGAATGTGAAATCAATGTATTGTGTTGCAACCAACATTTAAGGGGAAGAAAGGGAGGAAGGAAAACCAGAGGATGAGGGGGGCCCATATGGTAACTGTAAGTATTGCTTTAAGAAATATTTATTTCAGTCCCATATATAGATATTGTAATAAAAATATACTTATTTCTTACTGTGGGTTACAGACACTGTTGAAAAGTGACACCCTTCCAGCAGGAGGGATTTTGGGAAGATGGACTTATTTCTACTAGTCTAATCTAGTAGAACCTCTGAACATTGATGATATTAAAGAATTATTTTCAGATGTGGTACAGGCATTATGATTATGTTTTTTAAAGAGTCCATAACTTTTAGAATATGCACTCAAATATTTACAGTGGAAATTATACATCCAGGATATGTCTCAAAATAATTTTGTGAGACTTAACAGATGAAACAAGGTAGGCCCTGAGTTGATATCATTTAACTAGTTGTAATTCTTCATAATGAAAAAAACAAATTAGAAAAGAACCAATGAAGTGAATCAGAAAACTAGAAAGGTAAACTTAAAAAGAAAAACTGAAATTAATCACTTAGAAAAATAGTTGTTGTTGTTGTTGTTTGCCATCGAGTCGGCCCTGACTCATAGCGACCCCTCCTTGGGTTTCCGAGGCAGTATCACTACGGAAGTAGGATTGCCCAACCTTCCT